AGTCCAGCCGTAAGATTCGGAAGAAATCCCGGCGGTAGTTGTGGAAATGGATAGTCAAATTCATCCGCTTAATACGTAAAAAATGGCGTAAGAAAAAAGGCAACAAGGAAGATATAAACAAAATTGTTTTCAACAATAATTGTGGTTATCTTTGAAACTATCGTATCTTATTTTTCCAGTTCTCCATATTGCTACAGTTTCCCCCTGTTGTCTTGCAAGAAATGCTTTTTAATACGTTTTTTGTCGTTCTCACATGGGCCTATAATACTGGCCCGTACTCTTCTAGGCCGACAGGTTTCAATTCCATGCATAATTATACTGCTTTATGTTTTTGCATACGCATAGCCGATGCAAATTTCGCCTGTTTACGACACTTTTTGCCGATCCCAATACATATTATTTTTCTTTTGCTATTTGTGACATGGCTACTAATTTGTTTGCCACTGGAAAATTCACTTATTTTTTGCCTCATCCACATTCTTTACCGTCGTTCTATAATTTCGTTTAAAAATAGTCTGGTATTTTTGCCCTCCTACTTTTCTGGATTATTATTTTGTTGTATTATTTTTAGGGGCATGTTTCTTAACTTTTTCCTCACTTGTGCATTGATCGGCGTTTAATTCGCGAACTACTTGTTGTTCTATTGAATCATAAGGGTTAAATTACATAAATTAGAGGAAGTGGAATTCACGCAAGTCAACGTGTTGGATTTATCAAAATTCAATCTGTAAACCAGCAGCGCCTGGTGCACCATCATCGTAATATTCGCATTATTTTGTAACAAATTTAAATCAACTGTTATTTCGGGTGTTTCCGGGTCGAGTCTGGAAGGGAGCGAGTGGCAGCGTTCAACCGGAAGGTTGGTCCTATCTTCTTTTCAACGAAAATCGTTACTTTTTTCCTCCGTATGTGTCTCGCTGGCTGTCACTTCCACTTTGGAACCTCTTCATGGCGCAGATTGATGTGGTTAATCAGGCACTGAAGCAATGAAAACGTTAAAGATAGCGCGCAATGGCAGCAAAGCACAGTGTTCTGATTTCCCACAACTATTTGTTGCCATCTTCATGGATTTATCTTCTTTGTGTATTATGACGACAAAAAACATTCGAACAGACATAAATGTGCATAAGCTGTGCACACTTATGACAAATATGCACACACGCACACACACATACACACACACACGCACACACACACAAACACACACACAGTGCAAACTTTTGACAAATATGCACACACACACAAACACACACACACACACGAACGACCCCTCGACAATATGCGCCTTTGCTCACTGTAGCAACTGCAAAACAAAAAGCTCGTAAAAAATAGCCAAGCCGCACGAACAATCGGGCAGTCTTGATGAGTGAAAAGGTTGTTGTGGAGTCACACTGATAGCAGTCTGGACGGATTTTCCACTTAAAATTATCCGGTGCATTTTAAGATTGAAAAGGACAACTCAACTACGTGATTACTGACGGGGATCTGTGACGCCATTCGCGTACGTGCATGTACGTCTCGAGATGGCAGCAGG